GTACCAATAAGTCCTATTGTGTTATATTAATTAGATTGATTTTTGATTATTCCTTTTTTTTTTATTATTATTATTATTATTATACTATTGTTTTCGCCTCTTAACTTTTTTTAATGTCGATTTGCGTACAAGTCACCACGGGAAGCCTTTAGAACATCCAAAGAAACCTTTAGAACACCCAAAAAAATCTTTTACTCGTAAATAATTCAGTCTAGCTCTCATCCCAGTTGCATAAAAACCCCTCTTTGATCGATTAAAATAGTAGCATGCAACAGTGCATTATGAATGTTGCAAATTTTTGATCTGCAGGTGACACAAATGTGAAATGTGAGGCAATTTTACATAATCCTAATTCTAGCACTAGATAATCTTTAACATTAACTGAATGCGCAGAATTTTTTGGGGTGTTCTTGGGGATAATTGTATTTTTAATGAGTGTACTGAAACTGAAATGTTTTTTGATTGAAAATTTTTATATTAATATGTTTCATCTATAATTGTAATAATATAAAAATCACAAATTCAAAAATAATTGAAAAACATGAAAATCCTAAAAATATTCATATAATAGTAAAATTCTCTAGTATTATTTTACTTTTTATTATTTCACTTTTTAATTATTCACTTTTTATTTTTCATTTTTATATATTATTTTACTTTTTATTTTTCACTTTTATATATATTATTTCACTTTTTATTATTTTACTTTTTATTTTTTACTTTTATTATTTTACTTTTATTTTTTACTTTTATTATTTCACTTTTTTAATATATCACTTTTCACTTTTATAAGTTATTTCACTTTTATAATTAGTTATTTCACTTTTTATATATTTTATAATTATTTATTTTACTTTTTATAATTTCGAAAAATGTATAAATAGAGATGCTGTCTGAATCTTAACTTAACATGTTGTAACTGAAAATAAAAATCTTTTTTAACAAAAATCTTCTTCCAAATATTTCCTGTCTTTCATATTTTTTTATACACTTCAAATCTTGTGTATAATTGATCTTATATTATATTGAATTTATCAAATTGCTAATAGCTTTATATCATATTGCATCAAGCAAATTACTATTATTAACTTTGGGCTTTATATTATATTGTGTTAAACAAATTGCTGTTATTGGATTATTGAGCTTTATATCATATTGTGCTGAACAAATCACTGTATTAAAATTATTAAAATTGGATTATAAGTATTTTACCTTTTTATTATTTGAATTTTTAATTATTAACAAATATTTCTCACTCATAAGAAGAACAAAATGAAAGAGTTTTTGTTATTATTATTACTAATTATACTATTTTAGTTCTAAAAAGCTTTATGCAAGTACAGAATTATCTTTTCAAATTTCCTTTATTATTTCTTTATACTCTCTCTCCTCTTTGACCTTTACTCTTCCATAACTCTCTCACATTATTATTTCTTTTCAAGTAAACACAATTTTCGTAGAAATTGGCATAGATCTTAGATATCCCTCTTTTTTTTTAATATTTTCTTTATCAGTTTATATCCTCTTCCAATTCAGGTTCAAGTTTGTAAGTTAATTTAATGATTAGTGAATAAACTTGTAATAGTAATTAACAGTTAAATCAGAAATTCAAAATTTGTTAGAGCAATAAATTTGTATAGTCAAAACTTGATATACCAATCTTGTTATAGTGATGACTAATTAAAATTTTGATATAGTGATGATCCTTAAAAAACACTTCTAATAAAATTTTCTCAATATAACAATATTTACAGTCCCAACCATCATATCAGGTTCTTAAATGTAAATCAAAAACAATTCTGTGTATTATTATTATCTATATAATTATTAAAGTTAACAACTGGTGTAATTTCATTTACATATTCAAGTTCTTTGAACTGAACTTCTTGTGGTGAATTTTTGTGTTTCAGGTTTGTAATGCTCATTCTTTACTTAAATTATCATTTATTATGGTATCTATTAAAAATTAGAACTTTACTTAACTGGACTAAAAATGTTCAATAACATTGTAAATGCTATTTTATTGATTTAGATATAGACTATTTTATAGCAATTTTACCTAAACATACGAACTACAACTTTGTTTTTTATGGTTTCTATTTAAATTAAAACTTTGCTTAAAGATTAAGAAATTTTTATAATTGTATGGATTCCATTTTTATACTGTAATTTAAAAAAATAGTCTCGTTATATCGATATCAATTGATGTCAATAACGATACATATAACACTGCTTAAAATATCCGGTTAAACGGTTTAAATAATAACGTTAAATCTGTGGTAAATATTGATTTTTCGATTCATGCAATTGCACTAACATTAAGATATCGGAGTCGAAGCTGGCAAACTTTGCAAATCGAAAAAACTTTTTTCGATTCGATTTCGAAATTCTAGCATTAGTGATAATTACTCTTCAAAGAATTCAATTAAGAAAAAGTTTTATTAGATTAAATGTTACATAAATTTGCGAATTTTTTATTAACGGAGTAAAATAGTATGTAATAACTATCCATAAAATGGTTTGGTATTTCGGGTTCTCATGGCTGAAAAACTGATTCTGAGAATGATTGATCAATTCCCATCGCTACCTGTTATATATCGTATCTAAAATACTTTGAAAGTATGTTTTTCCAGTTCTTCAAAACTTAAAATGAAATACAGAATTAAATTTTTCTGGCTTTCCCATTTTCGTATGATTACTGGGCCCTTTGAAATAAGAATATAAAATTTGGTCCGATGTCATATGGTAAATCATCAAACATTTGTATTTTATAAAATGTATATAAACTTTTCAACTAAGAAGCAAATAAAAATTTAATCCGTGAATATGCTCAGAAAGGGACTATTCTATCACATTCACGGATTAAATTTTGTATTTGCTTCTTAGTTGAAAAGTTTATACATTTTATAAAATACAAATGTTTGATGATATTAGATGTTGTGCACCATAACAAGACCTGTTCCATGCCGAAATTTTATTGCATCGACACTATTTAAAAAATGTAAGACTTATCCGACCAATCATTTAATTTAAACATATGCACACTTTCATTTATAATAAGTTACGTACAATAGCGATATCAACAAGATCTGTCGCTAGATTGTCAACAAGATCTGTCGCTAGATTGTCAACAAGATCTGTCGCTAGATTGTCAACAAATCTGTCGTCAGAAAAATTATGTAACAAATACATGTTCATGTACATGTATTAGCTGTGTCAAGTTCGTGCCGCAGTCCAATAAAATTGCGATTTACTGGTGGCACAGACCAATAAGGATGTGCGCAAAAAAATGAAAAAAGCGAAAAATACGGGAAATGGATGTTCAAATATAACTTGGAGTACTAATAAAAAATGTCGGTGAGGCGATTTTACATATAACTTTGATCTCCACTCTAACCCTAACCCTAACTCTATCAACTTTTGGGTTATTTTATGGCTGCGCCACGAACATTCAAGATGTGCAATGTGTATTACACATAATTTCGAATACATGGTATCGGTATATAGCAATGATTTGCGAGACGAGAAAATATAAACATACCGATACTACATGTATTTACCTGCAAAAACATTAACGTTTTCCAACGCAAAAAACCACAACCATGATAACTCCAACAACCGTAACAGCACCAAACGCGGAATCAATAAAGGTGAATATTGTAACTATAATTTTATTCTATTTTTCAATGTTCATTAACAGAAACGGTTTATTGTTTTTAAATCAGAAAAAATTCGGCAACAGCAACAACTGCAATCGCAACCGCAACAACAACAACAACCATAACAGCAACAACAACAGCAACAGCAACGATGTTAACAATGGCAATTTAAATAACAGCAACAACTTCAAAAACAACTTAGAAAGCTTAATATATATGAATAAAATATTCTATTGCCCAATAATATTCTCAAATTTAGCTAAAAAAATATTGAGAAAAATCTGCAACAACCGCAACCGCAACAGTAACAGTAACAGCAACAACAACAACAGCATCAATAACAGCAACAACAAAAAGTTCCGCAACGATGTTAACAATGGTAATTTCAATAACAGCAACAACTCCAAAAACAACTTCGACAGCTTAATTTATATAATAAAATATTCTATTGCCCAATGTTCATTAACAAAAACGGTTTATTCTTTTCAGCTAAAAAAAAATCTGCAACAGCAACAACCGACAGCAACAACCACAACAACCACAACAACAGCAACAGCAACAACAGCAACCACAACAGCAACAACAGCAACACAGCAACAGCAACAGCAACAATTTCGACAACAGCTTTGTTGTATTTCTCACTCAAAGCTTATTGAATACACTCAATTTATTACTCTAAATAAAAATGAACAAACGCGGAAGTGAATACTGTAATTATTTATATAAATAATAAATTCTATTTTTTTTTTCATATGTTCATTAACAAAAACATTTATCATTTTTAAATTTAGCAAAACGATACCGCGAAAAAAAGAAAAAAGCACTCTTTGATTCGCAGAAATTAATTGAATCACTTGAGGAACAAATTCGGCAATTGAGTATAGAAAACACTTCTTTGCGTAATAAGATACAGAAGTTGGAAAAAGAAAAGGACTCCATTTCGTTATATGATCAATCGAGTAAAAACGTTAATATTTCATCTTTTAATCAAGAACTAAATAATACTAATCTTAATACAGATTCCAAAACCCTGTTATCTTCGCCGGATCAAGAAATTAATATTTCGTTGTCTAATCAAGAACTAGATAATTCAGCTTATAATACTGTTAATGGTAGCACATCTCTTTCTGTTCCACCGAATCGAGAGATTAATATTTCGTCGTCTAATCAAGAACTAAATAATTCAGCTTATAATATTACCAATGGAAACACATCTCTTTCGCCCGATCAAAATCCATTCTCTTATGTTTCTCCACAGAATCAAGAGATTAATGAGACTAACACTTCGTCTAATCAAGTGCTACCTTATACAGATTTTACTATTAATGTAAACACACCTCTTTTGCTTGATCAAAGTTTAAATGATTCATCTTTTACTACTTTATATTTAAATAATCTTTTTTAAAAATTCTTCCTTGATTATGTAATTTACACTTGTTTATTTATAATTTATAATTAATAATAAATATTTATTCTTTAGTAAAAAAAAAGAGATCATTACATAGGTATTCCAGTACATTATGAACGCTGCACAAGAGAAATTTGATAGTATCTTTGTAATTAGAGTTCAGTTACTATCAGGAATTTGATGAACATCATAAGTAATATACTCAACTTTTTTCTCCCATGGATAAGCAACATGAAACAAGTGTTAACAATTTTATTAACAATTTTGTTGATAATTGTGACTTCATTTGAAATGATCATTATTTTGAGATTGATATATTACAATTGGCTGTTCTTGACTAGAATTAGTTGATCAACAGTAAGGTTGAATGCACCATTAAACTGATGTTTTTACAGTATTCAGGTGAGCTGTAGAGTGATGATCATGATCTTTTTGTGTTGCCAGATGCTATTGGTATTGCTCATTTTTTTTGTGTTGTCTTTGTCATTCCTTCGTGAACTAAAATTTTCTCATTTTTATAGTTTCATGACTAATGGTGGATCTTCAGATGTTGAACTGCATTTTATGTATTAATCGTTATTGTTTATTACAAAAAAATTTTTTCATTATCATTATACTTCTCTTTTTTTTATGATTCTATTATTGTTTATTTCCCTTTTTGTTTAAATTCTATTAATGCATCTAATTTTTCCATTTCAGATACTATGATCGGGATGACATTTTTCTTTCATGTTATTTCTGGCTGGCTCATGAATATAAAACTATTCATTACTTCATTGTCATTCGAATTTGTTTCCATGTCAGACGTGGCAGATTATGTCATAGATCAATACTTTTTCATTGATCTCGAGAACTTTATTTCACAAAATTTTTTGATCATAAAGTTCTTTGGATTTTTGCTGGACTTCTTGTACGTTATTATAATTGATTAGGAATTGTACTTGTTGACGACGTTTTCAGGTTGGGGAAGGATGAAGATATAATTTGTTTTTCTATCATTATTCTTGTACTTTCTATTTGTTTGGGATAACACTAACACGCTAATTAAAAAGATCCTTTTAATGTAATTCTATAAAGCACAATAAAGAGCATGCGAATTTGTGATTATTCTTGTAAGACACTCGATATCTATTCATTCTCTTTGATTTCGTGTGGTATGCTGAAATCGAAATCGTTTGGAACATACAAACTGACGCTTGTAGTGCCTAAATAAATAGATTTTAATTAATATGAAACGTCAATGTGATTTATATTTAGAAATAAAAATACCCGTGTTAGTTGGAATTGATATTGATTTGAAATAAACACTCGACTGGTGTAAACTGCGTTTGAGTGGATTTGTTGTTTTTTGTTCGTATTCGTAGGAATGCTTTTTTGTAATTCCATCTCCTCATCAAGGTCGTATAATTTCTGCTGTTCTAGTTTGAGACACTCCATGATTTCTTCGTCTGTTTTAGGAAATTCTAAAGAGCTGTAGTACTGAAAATGCAAAGTATTCAATTCCCACTTTGTAAACCTGATGTTATTTGGATCGTTGATAGAGTTGATAAACTTTTCAAGTTCCTCAGCAGTTGGTCTGTTTTCTAGAATAGGATCCCAACATTTTTCAATAATAAACTTGAATAATTTAGGAACATTATTTGGTATCGTAGGTCGTACTCCGTTATATATGTCTGATACGAGATCTATATCATGACTTCGTTCACCAAATGGTCGTTCACCTGTGACAATCTCGTACGTAATCATACCAAAACTATAAATATCCACCGCTTCAGTATATGGTTTTCCATTTAGTACCTCTGGACTCATATAAGGAAGTACCCCGTAAATTTTTTGATCAAAAATTTCTATATCTGCTGGGCCGGTAAGTCCAAAATCAGCAATACAAGGATTATTCCTTATTAATATATTTCCAGGGTGGAGGTCACGATGAAGAAATTTCTTTCTGTGAATTTTATCCAACCCTTCAATAATATAACTTAAATGATTTAATTTTCGATCCCAATTCAATTTTAGGTGGTTGGAATTCATATATTTGCGTAGATCGCCATCCTTTGCATAATCCATCACTATCGAGTATTCATTTGTAGCTGAGTTTTTAGTTATTCCATAATAATTAATACCCCACCTGCACTTTAGAGCAGTCTGAATCTAATGTTGAAAAAATTAATTAGATTGAAAAACAAAAAAAAAAAACAATATGCTTACACTTAAAGTTATTCATTTTACCTCGTTTATAAATTCCGAGGTAATTTGCTTTGATTTTTGTAATGACTTCAATACAACTTTGCGTTCTCCATGTCGCTTGAATTTATTTTCTTTATGATCCCACTTGAGGAATGGACCGTCCAACCAGGTTGCTTTATAAATTGATCCGAAACCTCCTTTTGCAAGATATTCAACATCGGTAAATCTTTCAAAAGGGATCCATTCGTATTTATCATTAATTTCCGCGCTTTCATTTATTAAACTGTCGATATCTTTATTTTCGCTAGACAATTCGATTCGTTTGTGGTAATCAATACATGGAGGGCTGTACTCATTTTCTTGACAATTGGTACATTCACTACAATCATGAATATTCATTACTACCGAATATTCATTTGTAGCTGGATTTTTAGTTATTCCATAATATTTTATATCAATGTAGTCTGAATCTAAGTTTGAAAAGTTTAATTGTATTAGAAAACAAAAAAAGCAATTTGATATAATTTTAGAAGTTGTTAATTTTTATCTCGTTTCTAAACTCTGATGTAATTTGCTTTGAATCACGTAATGATTTCAACACAATTCGATATTCTCCCCATCGTTTAAATTTATTTTGTTCATGATCCCACTTGTGAATTGGTCCGTCCAACCAAGTTGCCTTATAAATTCTTCCTGTTGGAAGATATTCAACATTGGTGAATCGTTCAAAAAGGATCCATTCGAAACGCGTATTGATAACCGTTAATTCTTTTACTAAACTATCGATATTTTTATTCTCGTTAGGCCATTTCACTTTATAAAGTTGATAGTGATAATCGATGCATACATGGCAATTATTGTTATGGCAATTAGTGCATTTACTACAATCATGAATACCTATCACTATCGAGTATTGATTCGTAGCTGGGTTTATAGTTATTCCATAATATTCAATATTACTATAAATTCGTTTGCACTTTAGAGCAGTCAGAATCTAATTTTGTAAAAGTTAATTATAATGAAAAACAAAAAAGCAATATGCTTACACTTGAAGATTTCATTTTACCTCGTTTATAAACTCTGGTATAATTTGTTTTGAATTGTGTAATGATTTCAACACAACTTCTCGTTCTCCCTGTCGCATAAATTTATTCTCTACATGATCCCATCTCTTAAATAGATTTAATGGTCCGTCCAACCAGGTTGCTTTATAAATTGATCCAAAATCTCCGTTTACAAGATATTCAACATTGGTAAATCTTTCAAAAGGGATCCATTCGAAAAATCTATATCTATAGTCTTCACCAGCAATTATGTCGCATTCATTTATTAGACTGTCGATATCTTTATTCCCGCTTTTAACTGCATAAATTCGTTTGTGATATAGAATACATCCCTCACAGTACTCATTTTTTTGACATTTGGTACATTTAGATGCCATCTTTGAGTTTATTAGTAATTATGGCAGTGTTTTATTTAAAAGACAATATTTATGCATGAAAAATACATGTTCGTAATACCGATACGGAAACACAACGTACGCCCACTAGTAACAAAGTGAAGACAAAAAAAGGGCAGATCATGTGATTCCGATCCCGATACCGACCATCCGATATCTCCTTAAATTATAATGCATAATATTAAATAGAATTTCGGTTAGGATTAGGTTTAGATTTTGAGTCAAGGTTATTGTATAGCTATAGTGTATAATTTTGTGGAAAATTTTAAAATTGCTTACTTTATTTGTTGATTATAAGTGTCTTGCACTATATTTAAATTAGCTGGACCGACGTTAACTCCACATTAATATATTTCTAGGGTGAAAATCACACGCACAAATTCCTCTTGTGAAATTTATGCAAGCCTTAGAGAATTTCTGCATCAATCACCATTGTATGCAGAATCATGTAATAGTTTCAATATAACTTTATGTTTTTTATCTCGTTTGAATTTATTTTCTTCATGATCTCAATATTCAGTCAATGGTTCGTCAACCAGGCTGCTTTGTAAATATTCCCAAAACCTCCTTTAGTAAAATACTCAACGTCGATAAATTTTTCAAAAGGAATCCATCCAAAAGGTCTAATTTTCGCGCATACTTCTACTAGACAGTCGATATCTTTATTTTCGCTAGACCATTTGTAAATTCGCTTTTGACAATTAAAACATTAAAACACACATTGCAGTAGAAATCATACTGATAAGAAGTGCATTTACTACAATCATAAATATTGTGGAGTGAACACTCATTGCAGCAATTACGGTATCTAATTGCAATTGAAACACTTACTACAATGGTGAGAATTCCTGTTTTTAGTTTGCGTTCTGGTTCTTCATTCTTTTCTGGTTTTTCTTATTCTTCTGTTTCCATTTCTTTTTTATTTTCTTCTTTATCTAAGCATTGTCTTTTACTAGTATATGCTTCAAACAAGTTTAAGTTTGAGTTTAGTGGTGTTACATATTACACCCTCTGAAAATACACCAAGTGTCTTGTGAGTGTGAGTTAGAAGCTACAGCTTTGAATGTTTTTTGAGTTTCATTTATAAAAATGATTTCACTTTAAAGTAATTTTATATAGTGTTTATCGTTATGCACTGTGTTTTAGTTTGTCCAATAATGATAACTATAGATAAAAACAATTCACTACATTATACCTAGTGATGTGTTGGTTCGGTTCGGTTAAACCGAACCAAACCAAACCAAACTGATCAAACTGGTTCATGCATAATTGGTTTATGTGTAACTAATATTCATGCATAATCAGTTTATGTGTAACTAATTTAAAATAATCACATATGTACATACGTAAC